CCCTGATTTAAAAGCAAAAGAAACTTATCAATGCAGCTTTTCTATGCAGTACCCTTCTTTCTTTTTCTTTAAATGTATATGAATAAATTTATTTGTATTTAAAAAGTTCCAGATTTTGAGATCTTTCTAATACTGACATCATTTTAAATTAAGATGGAGTACAGAGATGACAACACCAGGGAAAATTTCCAAAGCTTTAACTTCTCACCATTCTATCATCACCTCAAAGTCAATTTTCACCTTTTTCACTGGCTGAATTTGTTATCTTACATTTTGCTTTGGGGCTCATGTTCCTGCAATATGGCAGTACTGGATTACGAGGATGCTGTTTGCTAAAAGTGAACAATGGCAGCAAGTCTGTAATACCTAGAAAGAAAAGGAAAAGCAGACCTGACAAAGCACGCTTTCTTGTTAATTACATGCAGATTGCAAACGCTCATACATCTAGTGAGTAATAAGTAAAGCCAAGCCGACACAAGGAGATATTTTTACACTGCTGATCACACAGCAAATCCAGTTACAGGGCCTGAAAATTAATTACAGATTAGGACTTAATATTTACTACTGGAAATAATGCAGCTTCATTAACACATGGCCTGTACCATTGCTCAAGTATGATGGACCTTTCTGTTTCTTACTCCATGTGAAAGTAAGCAATAAATTTTTGGACACTGTTCATGGTTAGTTGGAAAGGATGTAAAAGAAATAGGGATTATACACTTGAGATTATACGTACTTGCTAAAGTATGATGGCCAGTTAGAAAAACTTAGGTTGTGAGCTACCTAGAAAGGGAACACCTCAGCCCACCTCAAATCCCATTTGACAGCAGATGAGAATTTCAGCAAAATGCAGAAAACACAGACTAACAACTAGGGCTGTCAACTGACCAAGGATTAAACTAGCAGAGCCAGCTCAAATTCCACCACCACTGAAGAACTTCTGAGGGCTTCACTTGGTAACTAATGCAAAATCCTCAACACAACTTTCTGTCACTTAAACAAAACACCATGCAGCAGGATTTCAGCAACCAAATTCACATTCCAGGGGTTTTTCTGAGATGCCAAAATATATTAACAGCACAGACACAATTCAATTCCTACATATAGGATAGGGCTGCACACTTTTTAAAAAGTCAAGCCCACACATTTGAGCACCTCTTGTCTGAAATCAGTCTCAAGTGTATAATCCCTATTTCTTCTACATCCTTTCTAACTAACAGTGAACAGTGTCCAAGAATTTACTGTTTACTTTCACTTGGAGTAAGAAACAGAGAAAGGTCCTGAAAAAAACACAATCTGAATCGTATAAACCAAACAGATCACATAAAATAGATCTAAACAGTGACATAAGAAATTGTGCAATAATTTGCACCAGAAAAAAGAGATGAGTAAGAGGTAAATACAATGTAGAAAGAGCAAAGTACCCAATATGGACAAGGAAGGGATGCAGGAAAATCTAACAACCAAAGAACCATAACAACATTATTACAAGAGGAGATGTTAACCACCTAAGATTTGCCACCATGCCCAATACCATTAATCAGCTGCTCCAGCACTACATAGTCCTCCTCACCAATTTTCAGAAGCATGTGACAAGTTGTAATGAAAAACAATGTAAATCACAAATAAAAGTTTCATTATAGAAACAGATCTGCCCAAACTCCTTGAGAGCTTGAATATTTAGCTCTTTAGCCACTTGTTTCAATACAAAATTTATACGTCTCATTCCAAATAAAGAACATCACACACAAATAAAGAACGAGGCTTATGAATAACAGGACCGAATACCATTCTTCCTGCAATTTTTAAAAAAAAATTTCTTTAACTGCAAGTAAGGATTAAGAGACAAATTAAAAACAATGCCTACCTTTGACTTCTGTACCTATGTAGTAAATGAGCAATCAGTACGTACAATATAAATGAATGAACATCTTGGAAACTAACATCAGGGATATGATCAAAACACACCAGTGTTCTCTTAAGTTTTGGAGCATGAGGTGACAAGGCTAAAAGCCTTTCAATTACATTAACACAAGGATTGCAGATGTTATTCTGGCAACTTATGTTACTAATCACAAACTTACCTAAAAGATGTTTAATTAAAAGTTGAAACAGAACAGCTGAAAAGCAACTTTTCCTTTTACTTCTATATTTTTTCCCTTTAAATTCGACATTGCTTTATCCTCCATTATTTTATCTTTTTTATCTTTTGAAGCTATAATTTAATAATTTTCAATGTATTCTTCTAGCTCTAGCCTTACTGTCCTTGCCACTATGAAACAAGTCGCATCCATTCTGCAAGCCAGAATTTCTCCATCCACTGATAAAAATGCTGTTGTATTTAACAACCTAGACTTCCACCTGAACAAATAGACATGTTAAGTAACTTAGGAAAAATCAGTCTTCAGACCCTCTGCTTTTAAGCCCTATGTCAAGGATAGGCACCAAAACCTGTATTGTCTATCTCAGCTATTGTCCATGACTCCATTTTACACATCTGTGATTCTTCAACTAGGGATCCAAGCATCGCCGCCTGAAAATGACAGCTATAACCAAGTGCACATTAAAAATAAAATGAGCTTTCTCATAACCCATGGCCTCTACTACTAAAAACAGCACCCTACATAGCTTTGGAAGTGCTGCATACAAAAACCAAATTCAAGGCTGGGCTGCAGCACATTCATTTTGGAGAAGGATAAAAGGAAATAGTGTAACGTTTTCCTGAACTGAGAGGAGATGCTGACTCCCTCAAAGGCAGAGAGACCCTCCAGGAAGACCTAAACAAATTAAGGGTGGAACAATCACCAACCATGTGAAGTTTAACAGAGTTTAGTACCTGGGATGGAGCAATTCTGGATGTATAGACAGACTGGGGAAAGAGCATCTGGAGAGCAGCACTGCAGAAAGTGCTGGTCATGGTAGATGGCAAGTTGAATGTGAGCCAGCAGTGCCCTGGCAGCCAGGAGGGCCAATCCTGTCCTGCGGGGCATCAGGTACAGCAGCACCAGCTGGGCAAGGGAGAGGATTGTCCCGCTCTGCTCTGGAGTGGCCTCACCTCAAGTGTGGTTTGTTTTGGGCACCATAATACAAGAAGGATATAAAACTTCAGGAGAGCATCATAGGGAGAGCTACAAATTTGGCGTGGGGCCTGGAGGAGAGGAAAGGCCTAGAGCCTCTCAAGGAGCAGCTGAGGTCACTTGTTTGTTCAGCCTGGAGACTCACTGCAGTCTGCAGCTTTCTCACAAGGGGAAAACCAGAAGCTTTAAGCTGAGTTAGGGAAAGCTTTTTAAGTTGGATAATAGGAAAAGGTTTTTCACCCAGATGGTGGCTGGGCACTGGAACAGGCTCTCCAGGGAAATTCTCATGACACCAAGCCTGACACAGCTCAAGAAGTGTCTGGACAACACACTGAGGCACATGGTGCAATTCCTGGGGAAGTCATGTGCAGGGCCAAGAACTGGACTTGAGGATCCATGTGGGTCTATTCCAACTCAGGATAGTCTGTGATTTTATGAACATAAAATCTTGTGAACATGTTTTCTGCTGGTTTATTTATTTGATCACTTAATGACACAACCACAGTTTCTTCCCAAACTGTGGCTACCAAAGAACTCCTCCCATACAAATCACGACATAATTCACAAGTTCTACAATCTGAGATTCAAAGAACTACTTGATATTCACTCCTTACTGCCTTTCAAAGCCATGGGAATGCTTGTGTCTTTTGTGACCCTAAAATGAAGTATCAGTCATGGTAACAATTTACAGAACTGTGATCCTCCCTTTTTTTTTTCTCATATATGAGCCAAGAAGCAGTTAACAATGATGACATTAAAACCTACCACACCACGATATTTGGGTTAACACCTCACTAATACAAAAAGGGCAGCTCACACTTCTTGAAGCTATTGTTCCAGTTTCTCTACTACCTTACTTAGACATCTCCACTTTTAGATCATTCTGAGGTTTTCAGCAGAGCAGTATAAGCCAGAAACTGATGGGGAGTGGTGGGAGGGAAGCAAAAGATAGTGGATAACAAGGCAGCAGATTTAGAGAGGTGTCAGTAAGCAATGCCACAGCTCAGGAGATGAATCTCAGTATTGGTGTCACATAGCGGGTACCCTGAGTACACCCTCAGCAGTCCTACCACAGCTAACACACAACCACAGTATGGTTTGGGAGGGACAGATAATGTCATTATATACATAAATAGGGAAGCAGAATGCTGATGACTTCAGTGTTTGGTGCCATGCTTTTTGTTCTGCACTGAAATCACAACAGGTTGAATCTACTGGGAGTAGCTCACTTGGTTAGAGCATGCTGCTAATAACACCAAGGTTGTGGGTTTGATCCCATTATGCACCATTTATTTAAGAGTCAAACTCAATGATCCCTGTGGGTCCCTTACAACTCAGAATATTCTGTGAATCTGTGAATTAACAAATGTAATAACTAGGCTTTTTCCCAAAGGACAACTGGGAAGCGATATTACGCTGTAGATGAACATCCACCACTTGAAATGTCTCAGTAAGTTTTATAACATTGCATTAATTGAGTAACAGATCAATGCTTAGAGGATACAATTAATAAACACAGAACTTGACTACTCTATGAACACCTTGTTTGCAAGGCCTGGAGACCCAGGTCCAGGACAGGTTTCCATGAGAAACCGAGAGCCTGGCCTTGACCAGCATCCTTTGGCTTTTGGAGAAGCAGCCACAGGCGGCAGGGACCGAGGTGCACAGCCACGACCACCGCAGGTCCCCACCATCTACGGGAGACTCAACACCTTGCATTAACTGAAGGGAATGAATGGCCTTTTAAGACATCAAGCCGAAGGCGCCTGACTCGGGAACTCTGGGCACAATGAGCAAACACTACATGGGTAAAAAAGGCCAGGGACTTTCATTCACTCCTGCGGACACGTGTCTATAACCATTCGGACAAGACCTCGGTAGCACGAAGCCGAGGACCACGTAACCTTGGTGCTTTGCCTTTACCTTTGTTACACAGCCGGAGAGGCACCTGGACGCCCGGGAGCTGCCTTCGCCCCGCGTCCTGCCGCTGGAGGTCACGGCAGCGGGGCGGCAAGGAGGGAAGGACGGAGGTGGCGGCGGGAGTCCCTGAGGGCGGCGGGGACGTCCCAGTCCGCCGGGAACCCCGCGGAGGCCGGGCCGGAGCCCTCCGGGGTGACCCCTCCC